GACAAATCTGTGTCATAAACACTCTTGGAATTCGTTTAGAATTATTTATAAGTTATTTTTGGAAAAAGCTTTCTGAAAAATAACCATAACATGTTTATTGAGTATCCTGTAGATTGATATGAATTTTAGAGTTGTATAAGTAATGTATTTATAATTTTATTTGCAAGATATATACTCTGAAAATTTTTCTGGACAGAATAAAATCACCACTTTAATATTATGCTAGTCTAATTTTGTAAATCAAAAAAAGTTGTGCATGTGTATGTTTAGGGTTTAATTCTTGTATCTAAGTTATTATTTCATACCATGGTTTAAATAAATTGTTTATTTAAATTCTGTACTTTTATTTAGTATTGCGTGACACATGCAATATTTTATGATTGGGAATTTTAATGAGTTGGTATAACATTACTTGTGATTAAAAATTTGAAATTATTTGTGATTAATATCAAAATTAACTGAAATGATTAACGGCATATACAAAGTTAACAATTGACGGTTAATACCAGTTGTTCAGAGTGAGTCTTGGTTTAAAGACTGTACGGAATTAAGAGTTGACGGTTAACACCGGTTGTTCAGGGTGAGCCCTGGTTTTGAGAATTCTCACGTAAATTGTGTTGCGAAACTCTAAGATGGCACGGGACTTATTTGAACCCTTTTCGGTATTCGGTTTTGGAATAAGGGTGGATGTGCAGGTGGCACACAGGGAGGTTAGGCAAGGCTACTCCGGCCTAAGAGAGACATAGTTATTTCGGCACAGTGACTGTAAAAGATACTTCGGTCCGAAGGCAATTTGGAGTTATACCGGTATTGGGGGTTAGACCGGCCGAAAGTCGGTGGTTCGGTCTAAGACAATACCATGGGTTCTACGTGGAAAGCTGAGATAAGAAAGGGAAAACATAAGAACCGAACTAAGGATGAGTTCGGTTTACTCAGTGGCTCTGCATAGCCAAGCGTATTTCGGTCATATAGTAGTTTGGCCAAAGTAAAAACCATCCCACTTGGTTTAAGCAGTGGGGGAGGGTGTAAAAAGATAAGCATTATCCTTAGGAGTATGAATTCTAGGAGGACTCTGCATGGAGAAATACAAGTCCTACTAGGATTGTGCCACAGGAAACTTATAAAAGCTCACAAACATCACCTTGGAGGAGGTAATTGAACGCAATTTTTCTGAGAACATAGAGCTTTTGTCTATCTGTCAAGTTACTAACTTAGGCATCGGAGAGGTTTCCGGCACACACTCGCCGGCTAGCTCACGTTTGTGTTTTCAGGTGAGAAAGCGACGTCGTACGGAGAAGCGTGGACTTGGTCAACAGGATTATACGAGGAGAATTATTTCCTCCCCGTACAGTTGCCCTGGCGTTTCATGCCAGATTATGTTGAAGAAGGGACTGAGGCTGAAATTGGAGCTGCTGCCAATATCGAACCTTGGCTGACTTAGAGTCAATATTTTGTCAGAATAAAATCCTGTTATCCCTTGTATTAGGATTAAACTATGTTGTGACGTTGTGTGTGAACTTGTAGTTTTATTCTGTCGTTGGACTTTGGCTTTGTAAGAACTAAAAGTTCCTAACTAGTAGTTAAAATTTTATCTAGCAAGTTATTGTTATTTAAAATCTTATGACGTTTCAAAAAAAAAAAAAATTTTTTTTGGGGCGTCACAAATCAAAGCCAAGGTGAAGACTCGCAGATACATTGGCAAAGGCCATGAAAGCCTCTGATGATCTTTACAACATTCGGGACTTTTATTTTCCATCAAACCCAGATGACTAAATCTTCAAATTACAATCTGATTCAGATCTCGCTCTCAAGCTCCTCGATTCCATTGCTTCTGGTACTTACTCAAAAACTCTTCAATTATGTGTATAATTATTATTATTAAGGAAAATAATAGAATTCTATGTTTGTTATAATAAAATAATAAGACCATTTGAGGAGAGCACAATGAAAATTAAACTGATTTGTGCTTTTTCCATTTATTCATAGGTTTTTAAATTGTTATTCTTATTGGAGATTAATTTATTTTTATTAATGTTTAGAAGTGTTTGTTTATTTTAGTTGTGTGTAAGGAAGAAGTGCACTATTTTGGAAGATTTATAATGGTCTTTAATGGAGATCTTTTATGCAAGTCTTCAATGGAGAAAATTTCATTTCGAACCAAAGTCTTCTTCAAGGGCGTGGATGAGTCAATGTGGAAATAGGGTTAATCAAAAGTGTGTGCAAAGAGAGTTAGTTGTGTGTGTACAACGGTTATAAGTGAAGGGTAATTGTAATTGTAACTTTAAGTGTGTGGATTGAGAAAATTAATTGATAATCAAATTAATAGATGTGTATTGAAAAAAGATGTGTCTTGAACTAATTAGATGTGTGGAAATAGAATTTCCTCTCAAAATGGGTTAAAAGCTAAAAGCTAACTTTTAGCTAGCTTCCCCAAATTGCCCCTAAGTAGGTGTTTGGGGTAAACTAAAAAAAGTGAACTTTTTTACCTAAATACACTTATTTGGGTCACATCTATTAAGATCTCCACTTTACTTTTTTAACCATTTTTTCTACTTTTCTACACTTTTTTTATTTATTTATAAAAAGTTAAAAAGTACACTTATTTAGAACATCTCAAACCAAATCTCCTCCAATTTTTTTTATTTTTTATTTTTTAATGTTCATAAATGTGGGACCCAATGGTTCATACACATGAATAAAGTTTTTTTTTGTTTGTTTGTTAAATTAGGGTTCTTTTTGGTTACTATTTTACATATCAATCAATCTAATTAAATCACCATTTTATAGATATAGATTATATTTTATGAGAAACCAATGCCAATTAAGATGTTGCTAATGGTTTTGAAGTTTTGGAAAAAATTTAATTTCTCCTTAACTTTGATTTATTTTTTAGGTTGGACCCATACGCCAAAGTTGACGGGTCTAAGTGGTAATGCGTTTTATGCCACATTGTGATTCACGTGATATGTTTGGTTGCTCAAAACCATTATCGGGTGAATGAGAAATTGAAACTAAAGTGAGCTCCATGGAAATGAAATTTTGGTGGAAATTTCTTAAAGGTGTGGTTTAAGGCTTGTCCTACATTGGTTTGGTAGGAAGAATTTTGTAGGTTTATAAGGCATGAGTTTGTAATTTGGAGAGGGCTCCAAAAGGCACCCTAAGTTTGTAGAAGGGAGAGATTATGGACATATTGAGCTAAACTCATTGGGCCCAAAAATAAACACGCGCCGTCGTCCGGGTGGGCTGGGCTTGGGTGTCACGTCCCAAGCTCCGTGACAACGCCGCACACTCATTTAAGTGAGCATGCAAGGCTAAGAGTCCAACACATAACTAACAATGTAAAATACTCCAATCAAACCCTTTACCTCTATTTGTTTGTGCTTCTATGTTTCCAAGACCTAAAGCCCAAGTGGGCCTATAACCCAATCTCCCAAAATTACAAACTTAACCATCTAAGTAATAAAAATTTTAAAAAAAACCACCTCATAACTAATTCCTTGATGTTACTAAAATGACCCATATAAATTAATTTAATTACAACTTTAACCAAAAATAATTCTACACATAAAATTTTGAATTTTACATTGGGTGCGAGTATTATTTAGTACACAAATAAAATTTATTTCATTAAACACAATAAAGATTATTCAACAACTTGAACATTTCTTGTCACATGATAAAGATATTACTTGTGTTATGAAACATCTTCTGTAAAGATGAATGACTACATTTATTATGTAAAATAGACTTTTGTATAACCTCAATATGTAATAAATTTTTTTGCTATTTTGGTAGTGCCTAATAAATAAAATGTTTCTTTGTTCGATTTGTATAGGAGAGGTGAAGTGAAGAAGTAGACAAGAACTGACAAGAAGAAAAAAGAGAAAAATGATAAGAACTATACTGACATATATAATTAAATTATTGAATAAAATACATAATTACATCATGAAGATCTATATTTAAAAGTTTCTAAAGAACCAAACAAAAGTTCCAAACAAAAGTTCCTGAAGAACTCAATTATCTCTATATCTTGTGTTAAAATTATTAGTTTATTTACTTTACAATTTATTAACTTATCTACTTTACATTCTATTCATTTTTATAACGACAAGAATGTGTTATTCACAAAATTTGTGTTATTTCACTTGAAGAGTAATACAAAAATTATGTTTGGTATCATTTCTAAAAATAGCGATGCCAAAAAATAGTAGCCGAATAAAAGTATTTTTTTTTTAATACACAAAATGATACTAAATATGTTAAAAGTTTAAATAAGGAAAATGAAATGAAATTAACTTGTGTTTAATTGAAAACAATATTTAGTCATGTGAAATTACTGAAAAATTAAGATTAGATCACACTTTTGAAAATGGAGTAATTATATTTATGTGGTATTCTAAATCAATAATTTAACTAACTCACATTTGTTAAGTAATTAAGAGATAAAATTTAGTGTGTTGCAATTTTTAATTGACTGAAAATACCACCTTAGATAATAATGTTACATGTTGCTTCCAGAACATCTAATAATTTCCACCTGAAAATGCATTAAATCACATTTCCATGCTCAAGTGTTAAATATGTACTAGTTAAGTAATTAAAAGCATTAAGAGGTGGTACTTAAAATTGCTTTACTTCATGTATATATATTGTGTGTACTAGTTAAAGTTTGGGGGAAATTGTGACAAATAAGAGTGAGATAAGGAGGTATTATTAATCCAAAAAATGGGCATGAACCATTTAGGAACTCTAAACAAGTCTCATCTACATCAAAGTTGTCAAAATTATCCCTATTGAAAACCGCATTAATAACTTTAACCTTATCCCAATCGTCGAATAATCAAAATATACCAATAACACACCAATGATATGCAAAGTGAACTCTTACCATGGCATATGATTTTTGCATAAACATCCAACTTTTGTCTCTATTTTTCAAATTTTTTGAAGGAAAAAAAACATCACCAAACAGGCCTTCAGTTGTATTCCTAGGGACAAATTCAATGGGACTAGTGGGGCATCATTCATTAACTGCAGTGTAACAATATACATTTCTCTGATCAAGAAGAATAGAAAAAACTAATTAACCACCAAGCTCAACTTACAACCTCATAACATCAGAGATTTTGCTATTCACTTATTACATCATGATTCACAGTCGAAGTCAAGTAATCCTAGCCGCAAAAGAATAAGCCAAAAAAAAAAACAAAAAAGAGGAGAAAATTATGAGCTCATTATGAACAAGTAACTATCGAGCAGTTGGCTGTGCACTTGACTCATCAATTGACAAGCAATGATCACCTAAATCTAGGGAACCCCCCATAACCAAGGAAGAATGCATTGAATTTCTTGATATTTCGTCCGAGTTACCTTCTCTCACCACATCTGCGCCCTTTTCAATTGAAATTGCGTCTTGGATTTCTTTTAGAACTTCTGACATTGACGGTCGAGTATTTCCATGGGGTTGGACACACATCAAAGCTTTCTCGGCTATCTTCCACATTGATTGGATGTCATATTCATCGTGTAGTGAGGGATCGATGATTCCTTGAATGTCCCCATTTTCAATGTGTAGTTTTGCCTATTGTACAACAACCATTAGAGCCTATTAACAGTCTTTTAACATTCTAATACCAAAGCAAGGTTAATACATCAGGGGCATCATTTTGATTTTCTCAATTTCTTTTCCATTAAATGCCCCAAAATGGCAGAAAAAAAAATACTTGCAAAAAATATTTCGGTGAACCTCAACATTTTCTGAGTCCAGATCCTCTACAGTATTTTCCTGCAATGGATCCTATAGTGCTAATTAAACTTAAGGGTGCAACTCGGGCGGGTTCGGACGGGTTGAAAAGTTGTCCAAGCTCAGCCCAAGTTGTGCTGAGACCTGTCTAGGCCCACTAAGGCCAAATTGTAACCCGAGGTTGGCTGCCCAAGCCCGACCCGAGCTAAACCTGAATTGTCCGAGTTGTCCGAATTGTAAATGAATTTCAGTTTCCCCCCCCCTTGCAGCTACATTATTAAATTATTAAAATTTGACTCTATTTACATTTTTTTTATTATAGAAAATTATTAATACCATCAAAACAAATAATTTATATAATGTAAGAGAGATGTCGTTATAACAGCCCTTACAATTTATGAGTAAAAATAAAAAAAATAAACAAGTAAAATTTTATGTTATTTTTATATATAATATATATTCAATATAATTTAATAATCTAAATTTCTTTAACATCATATAATGGTTAATAATTAATTTGTATATTTAATATTTTTATATATCTATATATATAATTCGGGCTTCGGGTTACTCGAGTTGTTTGAAATCTTTGCCCAAGCCCACCCAAATTTAATTCAGACTTCTGAATTTTTACCCGAGCCCGTACCGAATTTGAAAATATCTTGTCTAAGCTCTAAAAAAATCTAGGCTGGGTTTGGATTGCTCGGGTTGAGCCCGTCCAAGTTGCACCCTTAATTAAACTACGTCGTTTTGTCCCCTTTTTTTTTCTTTTTTCCTTCCTCTATTTTCTCTTCCTGCTTTTTGAACTGAGCCCCAAAACCAGAAACGAAAAAGAGATGAGAAGGAACGGAGGACTCAAAACAATGGGAAGACGGACAAATCTGTAGGCTCGACGAACGGACGACCGGCGACTGGCGACCAGCAACTGGGAAGATGACCCGTGAGAGAGACCCAAAATGTTCATCAGATGGAGAATTAACTTTTAACCATTATCCCAGCTGCAAGCAAAGAGACTCCACCAGGAGAGAGAGAGAGAGGTGTTTATATAGAAAAAGAGTAGAGAGAGAGTCAATTACAGAAAAGTGGAGAGAGACCCCAAAAAGCGTAGAGAGAGAGAGAGAGAGGGAGAGAGTCAATTAGCTGGGTAATGGCTTCTCAGCCATTTCCCATTTGCAGGCAACCATAGATAGAAGTTTATGGTTTTGGGAGACAGCGTACAAGCACAAGGGTTTTTTTTTGTCATTTCATTGACAATTTAGAGGCGAATTTGAAATTATCCAGTAGGTTTGCTTGTATGTTGTTTCTAGTTGTTTGGAAGAGAGTCAAATAAATGTCGAAACTATTCAGACAGATCAGGACTATTGAAGGCCACTTAATTCTGCATCTGATGAACATTGGTTGTGCACTTAATGTGTAGAATGTTTTGAGGTTTATTGAACAAAATGCTTGATGAATCTAATTATGCAGAAATAGAGATAAAAGTTGTTTCTTAACAGTTTTAAGCTTTAACAGTCGCATTTCCAGTCGCCAGTCGCTGGTCCTCTGTTAGTTGAGCCTACAGATTCGTCCGTCTTCCAGTCATTTTGGGTCCTCCGTTCCTAGTCTTCTCCTTCTCGTTTCTGGTTTTGGGGCTCAGTTCAAAACGCTCAAGGAAGAGAAAACAGAAGAAGAAGAAGGAAAGAAGAAAGAAAAGAAAAAAAAAAAAGAGGGCAAAACAATGTGGTATTAGCACTACAGGACCCACTGCAGAAAAACACTGCAGAGGATCCGTACTCAGCATTTTCTAGGGTAAGTGACGCCAGACGGCCCACAAAAGAAAATAAATGTAAGGTTCACCGTAGAAAATGATGAGGTTCCAATGGTTGAAGTCAAGTACTCTGAGACACATTAAAGTTGAGTACTATTGACTTATTAGAGTTTGAGAAATGTATTTAGCCACTCAAAATTTCAATAGTCCTCTGTTTTTGGTGTTTGGCCAACTTACCCATTGAACTATGTTGCGGCAATTAACACCAAAGCTTTCATTAGATATTGCTTCTTGACCAGATATCAGCTCGAGAAGGATGACACCAAAACTATAAACATCGCTCTTGTCTGTCAACTGTTGAGATATATAATACCTGCATATTAACACGTAAAAATATTAAAACTTCATATTTAACTGTCTGCCAATGAAATATGAATGCGAAGCCCAAAACTCTGAGAAAACTGTGTACATGCTGCAGCCATTGCATTACAAATTTACTCCAAGCAAGTGAAGGCTCCTGTGCTGAATGCATAGCACACACTTAAAAGATTTTATGCAAATATAATTTGGGTGGACACTTTCCCATATTTTGAAACTAGTGTAACGGTTTTTATACTGTTTTTTTCTTAATCAATGATCTTTTACTCCATGAGGGTAACTAAAAAGTAATGTGTAAATCTAGGTCGTCAACAACCAAGGAAAAAGTGTAAGGGGCAACAGATGTAAGTTAATATGCACCACATTTAAAATCTTTTTACTTTAGGCAAGTTTCTGAGCCTTTTAGCAAGTTTGATACTCAATTCTTATTAATAGCCAATACTGCAAAACCTTCATCTTAGATACAACAATCATAATTGCACCAAATGATGCAGGAAACCAAGCATAATTGAGATACAACAATCTATTGGATAGCTTGTTATATATTGTTGGGCCATTTCCTAACAACTTAGCTTTTGGAACAATTAGTTGCTTAACATGGTATCAAAGCTTAGGTTGGGGGAGATCTTGGATTCAAATCTCTTTGTTTATGTACTTACTCTTTCATTTGAATTTTTTCTTCTCTCAAAAAGATAAAAAGAATGATTTGGCTTATCCATTAATGAGGTAGAGGACATGTATACATAATAAAATGATGATACAATTTAGGAAACGATATAAATAAGGAAACAATACTAAATTAATGATTGACACAATCACAGATTATATACATAATACTAAAAATAAAAAGATTTTATGTACTCTAATTTCTATATTCAACATTCTCCCTCAAGTTGTTGTGAAGATATTCAACAATCGCAACTTGCCAATGGATGACTGGAGTAATATTGGTCCTGCAGACTCTGTGAGCATATCTGCTAATTGCTAAGAAGAAGAGATAAATGATAGACTCACAATACCAATCAGAACCTTTTCTCGAATGAAATGAATATCAACCTCTATATGCTTAATACGCACATGAAGGACAAAATCAAAGGACAACATAATAACAGACTTGTTGTCACAAAATAAGGAGGCAGGACCAATCTTCTCAAAATCCAACTCTGCTATGATAGAATGAAGCCATAGAATCTCACATGTTCCCTATGCCATAGCTCGATACTCAGCTTCTGCAGAAGATTTAGATACAACTGCATGCTTCTTACTCTTCCATGGTGTAAGATGATCACCATAGAAAGTACAGAAGCCAGAAGTAGAACGCATATCAGTTCTAGATCATGCATAGTCAGCATCAGTGAAACAAGAAAGCCCATATTGAGGAGCGGCTGTAAAGAATAATCTCAAGCCAGGAGAGGTTTTCAAATATCTCAAAATGTGATGAACCGCATCAAGATGTTCTGTACGAGGTGTATGCATGAATTGACTAACAACACTGACTGCAAATGTCAAGTCAGGTCTAGTGTTGGTCAAATAAATTAGACGTCCAACAAGGCGTTAATACATGTCTGGGTCCTTTAACAACTTGCTAGACTCTGATGTGAGCTTGACATTGGGATCCATACGAATAGAAGCAAGTTTACACCCTAACATACTAGTATTCTGAAGTAAGTCAAGAGCGTACTTTCTCTAAGATAAGGAAATTCCTTGCCGTGAGCGAGCCACCTTAATCCCAAGAAAATACTTGAGACTCCCTAAATCCTTAATATCAAAGGTGTGTCCCAAATCCCTTTTTACTTGATCAATGCCTATAGAATCATCACCTGTGAGAATAATATTATCCACATAAACCAACAAGACTATACACTGACTGGTTGAATTACGACGAATGAAGCAAGTATAGTTGGAGTGGCACTGAACAAACCCCATGGAGATGATGACAGAACTAAAACGACTAAACCAAGCTTATGGAGACCGTTTCAAGCCATACAAAGACTTCCGGAAAAAAACTCAATAGCTAGTCCAAATAAATGTTATCGAACAAATCTGGTAATCCACTAAATAAAAAAAAGTCAAAAAGTGGTTAATAAATCAGCATTACACCCTAGAAAGGGAAAAAACGGGGACTGAACTGCCCTAGAAGAGCTGCTGAAGCATCTATGGTCAGAAAACACCTTGGTGGGCAGCCAACAAGAAGCTCGGCAGCACTAGGGTAGCCTGCCGAGGGGTGTAGAGGGTTGGGTAGGTGGTTTTGGGGGGTCTAGGCTACCTACATGGGGCTGTTGGGTGAAATAAAGGGCTGGAAGGGGACTGTCGGCACTTAAGGAGAAAGGAAGAAGATGAGATAGTGACTAGGCAGAGAACTAGGGTTTCTGTGCTTTGACTCTGATACCAAAAAGGATGAAAAGAATGATTTGGCTTACCCATGAATGAGATAGAGGCCATATATATAATAGATTCACGATATAATTTAGGAAATGATATAAATAAACAAATAATACTAAATCAATGATTGACACAATCACACATTATATACATAATACTAAAAATAAAAAGATTCTATATACTCTAATTTCTATATTCAACACTCTATGTATGAATGTTTCATCTCCACGTGCAAGACGAGGTTGCAGTTGAGGTAGGGCATTAGATAGCTTGATATACATTGTTGGCCCCATTTCCTAATAGCTTAAGCTTTTGGGACAATTGGTGATCTAACATAATCATGTATTAATGCATTTGCATAAGCACATTCCTATCGAAGGGTACCTAAATTTAACATTAGTATTCATAATTTCATAACTTCTAGCCAAATGAGAATTATACTTTGGGAAGTTGGTTAAAAGCCAACTTTTTGGTCTTTTTAGGTCATATCACCTCTCTATTTTTTTGCACGTTTTAAAAAAAAAAAGGCCAAAAAACCAGCTTTTAACCTACTTGCCAACTTGTGTCTTTGGATACTTCATCTGAGAAATCCAAAGGCAGTTCCATCAATCAGAGGTACAACCATAATGCCAAACATGGTATTTAACTTTATTTCAAGCAAAAAAGAAGAAACTTGAAGCCATATGAAAAAGGCCTTACTCAGGATCCAGATACCCAACAGTGCCTCGAACTATGCTTGACACGTGGGAAGCTCCCTCCACTGCAAGTTTTGAGAGACCAAAATCCGAAACCTTTGCACGCATGTTTTTGTCAAGAAGAATGTTGCTGGTTTTCAAATCTCGGTGGATAATTGACGGAACACAGCCTGTATGAAGGTATTCAATCCCTAAACAAGCGAGAGGGCACAAGAGCCCAATTAGTTTCTCTAAAGTAGAAAGAGGATTCCCTTAGGCTGTGTTTGGATCAAGGATTTAAGGAGTAATTTGTCAAGAGAAAAGAAAAAGGGTGGGATTTAAGGAGTAATCTATGAAATAGTTGATTTTTTTATTTTTTTTCTCTTTGCTTTCCTTTTCCTTTCTTTCCAACAATTCTTATGCAAATCCTTGATCCAAACACAACTTCAGTCTTTAGCTTAAAAAAATAATTTCATCCCTCGGCTCACAAACCTTTTGCAGTATCTTCAGCAATCTCAAGGCGCTTGATCCAACTGATGCTTTGCTCATGTGTACGTGGTCCTAAGAAAAATTTATATGTGGGAAAGAAAAGGTTGAACTGCAATTGTTCTCAAATAGAAGGAAAATTAGCTTACCATAAAGATGTTCCTTGAGAGTTCCATTATGCATTAATTCATAAACAAGGATACTTTTCCCTTCTTCTTGGCAATACCCGAGAAACTGTACCAGGTTCCTGTGATGTATCCTTGAAAGAAGAGTCACCTATGTCAAATGAAAGTAAAGGTCAATTCAAAAGAGCTGGTTTTTAATGCTAATTAAAGAAAAATCCATCCGATACAGAAAAATAAAATATGTTAGTAAGAAAAAAAAAGAAAAGTAACAAGAACATGAAATAGTCTTGACGAAAATGTTCTGCCAAGAAATCAAATCACAGTGGTGAAAACTAGTGACGCATGTAGATTTGGTTCAGTTTTGAGAATATTTCAAAATTCCAACTCATCAGAAATCAAAATAAATAATGGAACCACCTAGAATACAAACATAGTTTACAGAGAAATGCTAAAATCAATGATGAATATTATGAGTTGCAAATGATTGATCTGGTCCAATATATAGATCCATGCAGACCTGTGAAACCTAAATCCACAGATAGACAACTCAAGCATGTATGCCTCAATCAGGATCAAATTGCACTTAAAACCCCACATTCACTGCTTCTTGAAATTGACCTAATCAAAGTTAGAGCTACATCATATAGCATTTGACCATAATTTCCATCTTGAGCCAACGAAGGTGCACACATGCACACACGCATGCATGAGGCAAGTCCATTGCTTAGGATAAATTTCAGGAGTAGGACTGAAATTGATTTGTGGGGATAGTAAAAATACCAGGATTTATTCATGTCTTCATTTTACTTTTTAAATTTTTTGGCACTACATTCCTTAAATTACACAGTGCACAAGGCTCTTCCTTAAAAAGTCTCAAAGAGGTAATAGCTAGACAACCTTATTCCCACTTTTTGTGGAGAGGCTGATTCATGTGACTCAAACCTGCAGCACAAGTCCGGGGGTGGATAGAACTTGCCATCTCGCTAGGTCACAGCTTCTTCTCTACATTCTTTATAGTCCACGTACAAAAAAGAACCTAGTATAAAAGTTCACTAGCATGATTTCGGCACTAAACAATTAGCAAATGTTTTTGCTCTCATGAGAGCAACACCACCTCATAGCTACAAAATGACAAAAGCTGCTTGAGCTTCTTATGATTAGCCAGACGGCTCACTTGAGATTGACCATGGAATAAACAAGACAAGCTTGACCATCTTCTGAAATTAAATTTTACCCAATCCAAATCAAACTCAACTATGCTTATCATCATCTTAAGACTATATTAAAAAAACAAGCAACTTGAGCTCTGCTTGAGGCCAGTACAAGTAGAAGCTTGCCCTATATTACTCAAGAGATATACGAACCAAGCTTGACCTTCATTTTGGAGCTCATTAATTTAATTTCTTGAGACAAACATCAGCAAGACAGTACCTAGCATTCTTAAAGAGAGAGATGAGTATCCACAGAAAGAAAATAATTCAAATATTAAAGGATAGAATAATAAGGAAAGCAACCTCATTTGAAAATTCCCGCTTCCCTTGGTAGGAATTACTGGTCAAAACTTTGACTGCAATCTCATTTCCATCTTTCAATTTTCCATAGTATACAACTCCAAAGCCTCCTGAGCCAACTTTTTTCTCGAACTTCCTTGTGGCATCTTCAAGTTCAGATAATGCAAAGCAATGTGCAGCTTCATTGGCACCATCACCCAATGACAAAACTAATCTTTGAGTATGCTTGGTATGTTCAAGCTGGTCTGAAACAAAGACAAAATATCATGTCAAGCAAACCAAGTTTTGCAATTACAAAGTGACAAACTATAATCAAAGAGCTCCACAAACCAACCTTGTTTAAGATATTTCATCTTTTCTTTGTGCATTAATAGACAGGAGGCAATAGTAGCTACAAGCATAACAGCAGCCCCAACTGATGATCCAATAATAATTTTGATGTGGCTCCCTCTGTTGTTCCCTTTATGAAGATTAATGTTCCCAGTGTAGCTGCGAAGAATTAATAAAAAGTACAGGTTACTACCTAAAAGTACAAGTGGAAGAGTGAGAATTTGAGTAAGAATATTGTTGGACGGGCCAAGTCTGTACGGCCAACATTTGGAATATATTGAATCATTTGCTGGGATGTGAGGCAAGGGCTTCAATCACTTTAGTCTTGGACAACTACAAGAGTCAATTTGCTCATAAAAATTAAATTTCCTGATTTATTAAAAGTTAAGGGTAAAAGGCTTATCAATGTGTCATGTCGAAAACAGGCCTGAAGGTCAAACGAAAAAGATGGGTGATCTTAGACAGCCTGATCATTTAAGTGATGAATGAAAGTGTGCCAATCAATTATGTAGAGCAAAAAGCAATGATACAAAAGGAAAAAGAAAAAAAAGATGCGACATTAACTAGTACTTTGTACTCTACATGTCTCCAAACTGATGTTGTGCTTGCAGTGAATTATGATCCCCAACCATTCTAAAATGACCTTGAACGGAAGTTTATTCATCATATAAGAACAATTATAATTAACAAAATTAGGTACTCCAAAGTCCAATGTTTTTGCTGAGCCACTCAACCCAAGTATATGTGTGAAATGCTGTTGTGGTTGTCTATATGCTTTCAATCTTTCAAGATCACCATGTCAGACATTTCCTTTAAGTGCTAGACTAGACCCGTTGTGTCTGTGTCCTTATTCCCAAAGGTACCAGAGTATGATGCATTTACATGAAAATACTATAATCCTGGAAACAAATTGGATAGACAACAAATATAAAAATTTAAACACATAAATGTCTCAGATAAAGTAATCAACACATAACATCCCATCTCATGTTTCCAATTCTGCAAGTTAAGGCATGATACCCACTTCAAAATAAGATTCCTATCCACAAGATGTGATGGCACTGTTCCAGATAACTTATTATTCTGCACATACCTGCAACCATTAGATTCATCAATTAACAAAAAGGCTTTTACTCATGGGGAAGCAGAAATAATTTATTTTGACAAATGACAACTTTCAGATTGATGTCCAGCATCCCACTGGGTTTGAGATTTCTTATTTTATGCAGCAAATTATTTTTTTTTCCGGCCCCAAGAAAAGGGGTGGGATGCCAATCCATTTTATTTAATAGATATTAGTTTATTTGTTTACAGTAATTGAAGTTCAAAGTTTTGCAATCTTACAGTTCCCTCAAATTTGGTAGGTCCACTAGAAAGGAAGGCAATTCACCAGTCAATTGATTGTTCTCTAGATGACTACAATAAAAATAAATAAATTAAAGGTTAGATAAATTTTTTAAATTAGCATGAGAACAGAATGAAATATTTGGGTTTTCAACATTACATAATCTTCAAGTCCATGCATCGACTAAAATCTGGTATTGGACCAGTCAGTAAATTCCCATCAAGCCACCTGAAACCAACAGACTAATAAGATACCATAGACCCCTCCAATTGACTTAGCAACAAACAAAAGAATCCTTGTTACCAACCAGCAAAGTGAGAATGAAGTGTGAAACTTACAGCTCAACTACGCCAATCAACTTTGTCAAGTCTGAAGGGATATTGCCTGTCAAGTTCTTCTCGGACAATATACTGTCAAGTTCCAGGGAGACAATATATTTTATCAGCATTAAATATTTCTTTTTACTTAACAAGGTTTTAGATTATAATTTATAACTAACGGTCCATTCGTGCAGGAAACGTTTTGTCATTTGGTTTTGTGGCCAATGGAAAACAAACTTATTTGGGCAGAAAATGTTTTCCACTTTTGAAAGGTAAAGTCTTACCACTGCCACCACCCCACCACCACCACAATTAATACAACCACTAGCACATTAGTTTTAAGGTTGCAACCAAACATAGGAAAACATTTTCTACATAAAACATTTTTCAGAAAATGTTTTTCACAGGAAGATGTTTTCTACCAAAACAAATGAAGCGTAAGCAGAAGCAAAGACAGATATATGTATATATACATGTGTGTGTGTGTGTGTGTGAGAGAGAGAGAGAGAGAGAGAGAGAGAGAGAGAGAGAATATTAAAGGACAATAGAAGCGCAAACTATGTAGGCACTGCAAAAGCTAAGTAGAATCAAGAAGGGGCAAAACCTTTACATTTTAACTATCCTAGGTTGAGGGTCCGAGTTACACTGCACCCAGGACCATGGAACTGGAAGGCATGGGTCACCACCTTCTTGCGCCCAATCTGCTGATGGATAGAGTGAAATTACACTAGCAATTACCGATTCTGCAACTCGCAGAAACTTAGAGTCAGATGTGCATTCCTAAAAGTTCAAAGCAAAGAGTCTTGACTCAAGAAGCAATAAGTGCACCCTTTTTAACTCTACAAACTCTTTAAGAAAATAAAAATAAAAATTTCAAAGAATACCAATATTGGATGTAATCATCCTTCAAATTTAAGAAAAACCATGAGTTGTGAATCAGGAAACACATTTCAAAGAAGCAAAACGATGCTTACCATCGATAGAACCATCACTTTTCTTAATATACTTATTAATCTCCATTGCATTCAGGAGAGGCCCCATGGAAGAATCAGATGTTTTCCCGAATCTAAAAGATAATACAAAGGGGAGGGATATGTTGTAATATCCAGGCTCGTACAGGCGATATTTCCCTTGAGCATTTTCTTGGATATTAACAACAGGTTTGCTGAGATCAGGCATGCCCGGGAGCACCAGCCTAAATTTCCTAGTCTCATTTGGACCCAAACTTTCAATTTCTGCAAAGTAAGTGAATGCCCAACCAAAACCCGGAAAACCATCCAAATTCAAGCGGTATGTTAATGATCCATTTCTACCAACCATAGCTGTTTGCATTACTTTTTGGGGCGGTCTTTCACCAGTGTTAACATTGATTGGCATTCGGGTTGATATTTTCTCAGTTCCCGAAGCAACGTCAACAAGGTAATTTGCTTTCTTAAGAGAGTCAGATTCCCATATTCTATCAAAGGGATCATCAGGATACCTGGGGAAAAAAAATTGACGCAAAAATGAAAAAGAAAAAGAAATGATTCATACATAGTTCTATATAGCCAATCCAGAAACATCCAAACAAAATAACAAATGCCCACCAATTGAACCATTCCTGTATGCATATAAGTTAAATAATTGGCATTGTTCTCATTTTATAAGTTTTGTTTGCCCTTTCTTTCTACGATCCAAATTTGAGCCTAAATCAAATTTGTCATTTTTGGTAATTTCTTATTTTCTTTAATCCTGCTCTGTTAATTAAGGAAATGCTTTATTTGGTTATTTCCTAGTTGGTTTAGGATTTTTCTTATCATGAATAATGATTGTAAGCCTTAGGGCTATTTGGTTTTGATAATTAGATAGTCTGAGGCATACCTGATAGGAGCTTCACTATCTGCACCAAAATTTATTCGTGCAGACGTGCTGAGATAGAACTGACTTTCATACTGTGTAAGGTAAACTGAACCATTGAATTGTCGGAGTTCAAGGGTAGAGATAAATGCCTGCCCTGTTGTAGCATTGGATAAACACACACTAATGGTCGAATCTAAAGCCAGAAATATCAGCTCCTGGAACTCTATTGTACTAGCATCCGAAACAACAATGGTAGCCCAATGAGTTGCCCCGAGAGAGATGTCAAACTTTGGATAAACATTGTTGTTGTCAAAGTTACCGTACAAGAAGGTTGCTCTTACAAGGTACCGAGTTCTGCTTATGACTTTGAGCGTGTAACAGTACTTCCTGTTATCGGCAGGGAAGAATCTCAGAGTTTGATATTGCTTCCTTGTCTCATTTGCAACAGAAATGTTAGTTGTTTCTCCATACAGAAGCTGATCATCAGGAGTCCACCTCAGACCGAGGTCATCGGTAAAATTTGCTCTACCTCCACAGTCTAAACTCACAAAACCTGATACACAATCAAATTTGTCAGCACAACCAAAATAAGTAACCAAACCAAACTAAGCCTTGTGTGCCAATCAAGTGCGCTCAGCTACATGAATCTTTTTTTGCCATTCTGATCTCTCTTACTGGTAATATGCTTAGTTAAATTAAATATAAAGCATACTTATAATCTCTTCATGAAACTTTTAGTAAGGCTTTAAAAATCGACAAAGCATATAATTCAAAAACCTATTGACTTTCAATCTATGTTTTCTAAATTTAGGCTCTATGAGGGATCATGTGCCTTTGAAAACAGCTATGGCACCCTTTTGTTGCCCTTCCTTTACCAATACAACATTTTTTCCCACAAAACAAACAGTGAAGGGTAGAGAAATGGCAGTGGAAAAATTGGAGCAGTTTTTGTGGATGTTGTAGCAATAGCATTTGATGTTGTAACTTCATTTAAATGACATATCTTATCAGGTGGGAGGTAGGAGAAAGTTAAGGACCAGTCTTCTTCTAGCCCCTTTTCTCTTTTATTTTTCTGCATTCTTATGGTGTCTAACACCTAGTAGAAAGTTAGATTTTCATTAACTTTAGAAATTAAAGTTTACCTTTTCTTCATAATCTTCAACTATTTGTAATTTAACGTCAATACAACAATTTCCTGCTAATATATATCAACATTTTGGGATTTTATGCCACTATTTTCAGGCGACAGAATTGCTAAAATGAAAGTGACCTGGTATCAGGTTGAACAAACAAAATACACATATCAAGTAAGCCACTATTTTAACTCTCATCAGCCAGCTATATCATTGTTTGTAAGGTCTTTGTTGACCCCATTTCGTGAAATTCAGCTGTTTGTAACCATATCTGACTAGAAAAATGTAGAGGGCTATAGAATAGGGATTAATATATTGCTCAGCTATTACTGGTATCGAAGGGTTAGATACATCAAATCCTAAAGGGGTTTAAATGGCTTTAAGAAATTACTCCCCCCCCCTCCCTTTTTCACGATCGCCCAACTAATCCTCAGTACAAGTTGTTGGAATTAGGAAATAATAATATTATAATTATGGTAGTGTTGGAATTAAGAAATAGTGATATTGTAATTATGGTGTTGTGTAATTATGATAGTAATATTTAATACCTTTTTTTATCTTTGTTTCCTATTTTGTAATATTGTTTCATTATAAATACAAGGCTCTACCTCATTCATAGGTAAGCCAAAACAATTCTTTTCAACCTTTTTGGTATCAGAGCCAAAAATCAGCCACCCTAGCCCTCCTCTCCCTCTATCGGCACCACCCAGTCCCACCTATCACCACCGCTAGCCTTCTTTTTCGCTCTCAGCCACCGACAGCCCTACCTAGACCTTCTAAACCACCCAAAAGCCCTACCCACACCTTCTAGACCACCCAACAGTGCTTTTTCTTCCCTGTTTTCCCCTCAGCAGGTCTACTACACTCCTGCCGAGGCTCGATTTGCTGCTGCCAGACTTTGTTCTGGTCCTGTGTGCTTCGGCTACCCCTCTAGGGTGGTCCGGGCCCTTTTCCCCTTCTCGGGGTGTTGTGTTGATGTTTTAGGCACCTTTTTTCTATCCTCTTGATTCATTGGGCTACCGGATTTATTCGGTAGCATTTATTTGCATAAGCTGTTGAGTTTTTCCGGCTTCTTGCATTATTTCAGCTATCGTTGCTGTGATTTTGTGTGTTTTCAGCCCCTATTCTTCCACCATGACTGAGCCATCTCTTATTGTCTCTTCTGATGTCCCCACCAAACCTATTCCTGTTGGTTCTGATTTTTCTCTTTCTCATCACACTCCTGTTCATTGTATTCCGAGTGTGGTATTGAATGGGAAAAATTTTGCTACTTGGAGCCGTTCCCTTAAACTCTACCTTCGGGGAAAAGGAAAGGCCTGTTGACTTTTATCTACTATTACCCCGCCAGCTGCGACAGAGCCTACACATGCTCAGTGGGATATCGATAACTGCCCTTTATTGGGATGGATATTCAATTTCATGGAAGATAGGATAAATCATATGTTCCTCTATTGCGATACAGTTCCGAGTTTGTGGTAATTTGGGAATGAAAGCAAACATGAACCCACAAACACAATTCAGAATCTCAATATCAGGTAATAAAAAGAAAAAAATACAAATTGAGCTAATAACCATGGTTAGTTGGGGTTGAAACTTCTTGCACTTTATGAACAAAACAACATCTATTAAATCACCAAAAAAAGGAAAGACAATGTAATGCAGTAGCTTATGGTGAAGTCATTATTGTTCAAGTATTAACAATGTTAACAGAAACTACCGACTGCTACAATATGAGTAAAATATATTCATATATAAAAAAATTATGCGAGGTTTTATGAAGAACAGGGTAAACTTGATTCCTTGAACAACAAAGTTTAAATTGCACTAAGAAAATTAAAATTAAAAAAAAAAACCCAGAAAAAATCTAAAATTTGATTATCACAAACTTATATATAAATATAAGGAGAGAGAGAGAGAGAGAGAGAGAGAGAGACCTGGCATCTGAGCTCTGACGGCAGCCATGAGAAGAAGAAGAGAGAAGGAGAGAAGAGAGGGAAGTATAACTCCGTACTCCATATCTCTTCTTGTACGAGAAGAGGGAACACCGAGAATGAGAGCATAAAAATGGTGGGAAAGAGAAAGAAATAAAGAAACGAAAATAACAGATAGAAAGTGACTCTGTCACAGAGCAGAAAAATCAGAAGAAAAAAGAAAAGAAAAGAAAAGAGTTAAAGATTCCAGTGAGAATTGTTTTGGATCAATATGACAAACAATGTGAACAACATCTGGGCTGATTGTGTTTTAGGGAGAGAAAGAGAAGGAGGGTGTTTGGAGAGAGCGAAAGTTGTTTTTTTTTTGGTTGCTTCAGAGAGAGAGAGAGAGAGAGTGGAAGGAGGGATTGAGGGATTGCTTCTTTTTAGGTGGGTTCAGTCAGGCAGTGGCAATGTGGGACCCAAGAATAGAGTAGGCAGTGTGAAGAAGGAGAACAAGAGCTTATTGGTTGATCTGACTGTGAACATATAAATTTACATTAAATAATTATAAAGGGTAATGATAGGTGATCACAAATTTTGTGATTTAAATGGTCTAAAAATATTAAAATGATTTGTTTTGAATTCAGAATAACTTTGAAAAATGTTAAAATAATATCGTTTTGATATTTTTGAACTATTTATGTCACATAATTTGTGACTACCAAATATTTTCTAATTATAAATATAAAAATTTTAAAGATTTTAAAATTTTTAATAAAATTGTTACCGAATGTTTTGTGTGGATATGAATTCATATAATGTGAATTTATATTTGTGTGATATATTTAATAAAAATTTGAATTTTAAAATTTTTATCATTACTTTAAAAAATATAAAAAGATATAATAAATTATAACAATAATGTTAGGTAGTTCAAAATTTTGTGACTCAAATGGTTCAAATCACTCAAAACGGCGTCGTTTTGACAGATTTTGAGTACAAAACGACGTTGTTTTGACAAATTTGAGCCATTTGAACCACAAAATTTTGAACTACTAAATATTTTTCAAATTATAATTAGTGTAAACCATGGATACGCAATCACTCAATAATTTTTCGTAACGCCCTCAGATCACTCAATAATTTTTCGTGAAGAAGATGCGACTCTCTCTGTTGTTGTGTTGTGTTTGTGACTTCAAAGAAAAGATAGAAGAGAGAGACAACCGGAGGACGAGATTCGCCCACACTTATAAAAATAAAAATAAAAATAAAAAAATTGAGTAGATATCATCAATCAATTATCCCATCAAATTTTGAAACACCCATCATCTTCTATGCTCCTTAATTTTAGGTGAGCTTTAGGATGTTTGAGTTGAGATTTTTTTTTTTTTTTTTTTTGTGGTGTTTTTTATAAATATGAAAGAAGTAAAATCATTTACTTAATCCTTTTTTTTCTCTATTTGATCTTTTATATTTGAATATTAAAACTATATATAAATTTTATACTGTGTTAAATAAACATTAGACTAATTTTTTATTTTATTTTAATCTTAACTTATAGCGTCTCTACTTAAATTGTCAATTTTGAAGTGGCACTTTTAAGATTTAAATTGTCAATTTTGAAGTGTCACTTTTAAGACTAAAAGGTGGTGTGTAGTTGTTGTAACACCCTAAAAAAAAAAAATACAATAAATATAACCCAAAGCATACATAATTGATAATATAAATCAGAGTAAATAGTCATTTCATTTCATGAAGTTAATGATACAAAAGAGTTTAACATATATAAATGCCCTATCGGCTTACACCTTTCCAAGCCTTGACTTGGTTACAACAAAAAAGAGACTAGCTCTTACAAATAAGCCCTTGGCTATACGACAAAAAAAATATAATCAAAACAAGAAGCTTGTGCCTTCAAAAGTCCCTCCCAGCTATTGTCTTGGCAGAGACATGCCCCCAATACCTGAAAATGTTATTCCCAAATCGGGTAAGCCACAACCTAGTAGGAATCATCTAACACGACATAGAAACTTAGCAAAGTTATAAGTACACAATGCATACATAATGTTAGTGATAGAATGACCACACTTTATATAGTCATAAGATACCAAATTCAATTCTTAATCCATTTCCATTCAATTCATTTCATTACATGAGCCGATTTCATCATTTCTTTAACAATCCAAATGAGACTACAACTCATTAGTTCTACAATCACATCATCAACGTATAAATACTTCAAACTTTCCTTTCACGGATATTTCGTCCGCGAGAAACCGTTAAACGGGACTCATGTTAACGTAGGCTATACAAACACTACAATTGCCATTTTACGGATATTTCGTTCACGAGATTGGCACCCATGTATAATTTTGGGATTTTCACCCAAGACACTCCAGCCAACTTAATTGTAATGGAGTCCATCCCATTTCTCCTCCCAAACAATCATTCATACATATGCAATGTATTTAAACACATAATCAAACTATGGAGTATATCCTCTTTCCACTCCCAAATAATCATACATATACGATGTACATAAATATAGTCATGTTCAATGACAAGCACAAGTGATTAGTTCCAATTCACCTAATCCGCATGCATTCTCTACAACAATCATAGCTATCCTCCACCGATAGCCCAATACAATTATTTCTAAACAGATATAAAATCTCATAACAAATAGTATATTCGAAACTACCAAAGAATGGAATCACAGATAACCAATCCCACCATACCCTTTCAATTTCACATTTTTAATGTCAATTTCCATTATTTATACAAAATAATAATTTGATTCAATTAGGGCAAATCTCCATTTTCCCCCAAATGGTAGCCAATTGCCAAAATCATCAAATCATACACAATACCACATCATTTTCAATCCCCTCAAGCATTTATTTCACCTTCACCCAAAAACCCCTCTTCCTATTTTATGCCCTAACCCTAGATTTGTCTTAAACACCCCCAAATCACATCATTGTTACACAAGAG